CAGCGCCCCCACCATCTGACTGGACAGCGCCCCCGCCATCTGAACCAGCAGCACCCCCCTTCTGGATGGCAAATCATGCTCTGATTGTCTCTGTCCTGAATGAGCTTTGCAAAGTGCTCCAGCAGCTGCATCAGGCTATTCATTCACTGTCCTTCCCAAACCCCGGCCCTCGGAGCAGATGCCAGCGAGGGTGCTGGGTTTGGGGGTTCACACGCCTCAGAGGCTCTGCTTGTGAGGAAGTGAGACAGGGAAATAGATGGAGAGGAGAGCACAGGGCCAGACTCCAGCTTCCTGCTTCAGATTCCTCACCTGGGCTGGGCCCACCAGTCTACATGCCAGCAGGGGTGGGGGGTGCGCCCGCTCTGCCCTAAAGTTTGGCATCTCTGCGTGGCCTCTCTCCTCCTAGCTTTTCTGTTCTTCACCCTTTGCCTCGTTTTCCCGGGTGCGTGGCATCAAATCAGCCTCCTTCCTTGCCATTCCCTGGCAACCATCAGCCCCTTGTCCCGCGCACACAAGCCCAGAGCACTTGGCACCTGGGAGGTGAGGGACGCCCGAACTTGGGGATAAAGCGGCACCTGGAGGGAGACACGCCTGCATCTGTGAGGGGCACTGGGACTTGAGGGCCCTCGGCTCCAAAGATGCTCAGCGCTCCCCTCGCACTGTGGGATGGATGCTACGCGGCCCCTGCTCGTCCACGGCAGGACTCGCCTGGTGCGCCTGGGCGCACGACCAGGGTGGGGGCCGCGCCCCGCCTCGTCCCGGTCTCGGACCCCTGAAGCCTCAAGGAGAGGAAGGGCTGTGCGTCGCACCACACCGAAGACATCTCTGCGCCGGCTGCACTTGTAAAGTGCCTCCTCCTCGCACCGCCTCCACCCCGACGTCCTCCCGGCTTGCTGTAGACCCTGGGCGGGCGCAGAGCCTCAGGGTCCCAGCGCGGCGGGTCCACTCCTGCCCTCGCTGCTGCGTCCCCGGGTCCTCACGACCCCGGTGCGCCCGGCCCTACCTTACCTCGTCCGCATTGCCCTCCCTGCTCGTGGACCGCAGCGTGGGGACTCGGCGGGCGCCTCGGAGCGAGCGGGTTTGCGTGACGTCGGCGCAGCGGGGTGGGACTGGAGGGGGCGCGGCTCGGGCTGCGGACTCCACCCCCTCCGCTCCAGCACCCACCCAAGCCCACGCGGCGTCCGGACGCAGGGCGGGCCGGAACCTGGGGTCCCCACCCTAGGTGTGCGGGGCTTCTGTCAGGATGCGCAAAACGAGGTCAGGCTTTCCGAGGTAACCGTAGGGAGGCGGGGCGTTGGGCCTTCCCGTCAACAGGTGAGAGGGCCCCTCTGTGGGAGGTCCCAGCAGAAGACTCGCGCAGCCTCCCTGTCCCCACCGGTCTTTGTGGCAACC